TACTTCAAAAGAAAAGGCATTTGTTCCTTTTAGAAAAAAGTCCTATAAGACAAGTAAAGCTTCATGGAACTGTCCTCAGAAACACTCTGCATGTAAAAGCTGTAACATTAAATTTTAAAGATGTTCTGAACACTTTTATACCATACTGATATAGATGAATTAAAACACCCAGCACAATGGGAGTGCCTGAAACTACCGCTGATTGAAGTAACACTTGACCCTGCATTCCAGATGAAGTTGATCTTGGACGTATATGCAATGTCCTTAAAAACAAATTAAGGATCTGGACATTTGTACTCAAAAAAATCCAAATCACCCACATTCAGCTCCACATCCTTAACCAATACCTAGAGGGGATTTTGTTTGTTTTAAATTATTTCAGAAGCTTCTTATCCCTCTTCATCAACTCAAGAAATAAAGGTCCCCTCATTCTGTACGAAGAACTAGCATTTTACCGATGAAAAGCTGTGATGGAAGAAAATCGATATTCAACAGAATGCTTCTTAGTTTCTTGATTACTACCTGTGGTCCAAAACCTGTAGTTTCTTGGCCTGGAAAGTAATTAAACTGCTTGGCCTACACTTCTGTTGTCTAAAGATGTCCAAGATGACTCAGATAGATGTGCAGATGATCATATTGACTGCCCTGACCTAGCAGTATCTCAGACAGAGAATATGAAAAGAAACAGAGGAAAGCAGGAATAACTCACAGAAGCAGGATCACTTCCTGCACACTTGGGGCAGCGATTCACTCAACAAAGTCTGAAGGAGATGATAATATGATGCATCTCTCAATTTTTAATTTAAATTCTGTAAACATTATAAACCAACATAAAACACTATCAATCAGACGGGGTATGACTCCAGGGGCCACCTTAGAATACTGTCTGCTAGAGAGTGGTGCTGCACAAAGTTACTATTTAATGCTACAGCACTATAATAAGATCAGAAACTGAATGTGCATTAGAATCATATTGTGCCTTAAAAAAATCCCAAGACCACCCACTCACATCAGGTTACAATCTAGTCTAAAATTTTTCCTATTGAACCTGCCTGAAGGATGAGGCTGGACTAGATGACATCCTAAGATCCTTCTCTATCAAAATGGTTTTGATATTGTGGGAGAAATTGCCTAAACCAAAACAACCATCCAAACTGATAAATATCAATTATTCATAAAACTCTTAATTTTCACTTAATATTGAAACGCAAAATGACTCGAGCAGTAACAGAAAAAATATGGAGATGAAATAGTTCACAGTTTTAAATCTGATGCTTGTGAATATTCCTTCAGGGCTTCAAACTGGCCAACATATCTCCTAAGATTTTCCATAAGCACCATCACACCTCAGAATGACTTTAGACCTACAACAAAATGGTAGTTAGATTCTATGAGGAATTTTATACTATTTATCCTTACTTTGGGGGCACAATTTCATATTCTGCTCAGAGCATTACAAAGAACATGCTGTCTCCTCTGCGTAGGCTTTGCACAGGTTTTCTTATACTTAAAAGCTTGCAATGATGCTGGTTAATTGCCAGATTTCAGCCACCTCTCTAACCTCTCCCTATCAGTGGGCGTGAAAGGGTTTACTTGTAATATATATTGCTACTGACTGATTTTTATCTTGTTCTCCTGGATTCTCAGCAGCAATTCCCAAGTTAGAGGCTTCCCCAGAAAGCACGTCAAAGGATTCCCACCCACACGCTGAATATCTAACAGGCCCTGACCCATTTTCTCCTTATTAAAGCAGCACTACATATTTTAAAGATTAAAAATAATAAACAGAGAGACTAAATGAATGCAAGAACTGCAGTTGGAACTCTATCCTCTTCAGATTTCAGTTCTGACAAAATCACTACCAAGAAGCAAAGAGACACATTTAAAATACAAATATCAAATACATTTTTCCTCAGTGTTCTCATTCGGTGACTTATTACTCCAGCTGTCTTTCGGCTAAGTACAAGGAGGACTTCATTTATTAGTTCTGAATATAGAAAAATCCCTTAATTTAGCCATATTTATCTCCTCTTCTAACCATATCTTTGGGCATATTTCTGCCACTTGAGCTTTAATAATCTTGTAACTCAGTGACTTAAGATATAGGATGCATAAAAAATGAAACCTCATGGTGAGTAACTGTTGGAACTTTATGATTTTAGTAAGATTATTTATCTTGCCCAACCAGAATAAACAACAGCAATTAACACTGAATATTGAGAACTGAAGTTGTTTAGGGTAGGATGGACTACCGCAAATACTACTGCAAGACTCAAGTTGCACCACATAGCTGGTACGCTGGAATTTAACATCCCCAGTTAAACAGGTACAATATCATTTTAAGTAGAAACAAAATGGCAACAGAAAACTCAGCTGATGTATGACTTTGGATTTTCCCATTGCATTCACAATACCATACACAGTGTATGATTAAGTTTTATTGGTTATGGCTGCATAACAGCCTTTGCTCCCCCACCTTGCGCCATCACCTCCAAAGGCAGTAAAGCACTCAAGTCAAATTACCTCTCCCAAACAGCAATGTTAAACAGAAGAGGGAAAAAACCCCACCGCAGTACAGAAAAACAATGGAGAAATTGATATTTCTGTGCTGCAGTTCTTCAGTCCGTTACATCTAGGGCTGTGCTTCTTACAGAAGTGACAGCCCCACACTTCTCTCAGCTCGCCACTGCATGCTGCCCTGGCCATTTTTGAGACAGCACAACTATTTCTGAACCAGGGAACTATTTTACCTGAGAGTAGACCTGACCACGTAAAGATGTCTACTAGGTAAATTCCTGGAGCTTTTGGTGTCAATTCAGTCTTGAATTAAACTGAAAAAATTATGATAAAAGATGTATTTCTAATGCAGTGCAGAAAATAGACAATAAAATCCCATAATACTAGATCAATGATCTTTTAATGAATACTGAAATAAAAAGTTTATTTATGAAAGCTCTGTATCTCATAAGTAAATCCTTTATATTTACAAGTGACTTGTAAGCAAATCCGAGCTTTACCTGTTATTTATAAATTATATACATATACTTCCTCCTGCCTCCCTTTAAATTTAGCAATGCTTTATGAAACCGACTTCTCAGGGAAAGTAGATTAAAAATGGGCACATATATCATATATGAATATTCTTTTACCTTAATTTTCAATGTCAACTATTACAAAAAATTATATATTTACCTTCTGAAGAGAGACTCATCTGTTCTTTCCAATAGAAAAAACAGGAGACGATAAAACCACCAAAATAAATAAGAATACTGCTCTCTATCTTGCCGTATATATACAAGTAGTACATAGTCTTTTTGCAGTGATTAAGACTTTTCACTAACAACTTAACACGATGTTATTTAAGAATCCACTTCATTCTAATCATAGTGTGCATCTGCAAAGATGGACAACGCCACGTCTGGAATCCTAGTAACCAAGTTTATATGATTTATGAACAAAAAGAGGAACTAGGAGACCTCCTTTTTTAATAAAGGTATAGTAAGTTACATCGATTGCAATACTATACTGACTAAAGCTCATCTTTTGACAAACATAAGCAAGCAGAGAATTAACAACATCAATCATCAGCAAAACAACATCCAACACTTGTAACATCTCTTCATACACCTGGAAAATAGGATACTTGACAGACAAACATACAGTGAGTCAGAGGGCTGTTCATCATTGTCTTACGTTGTGTGAATGTTTCTGAAAGTTTTTATTAGATCTAAGATTAGCTTTAATTTGGACTACTTTATTTTTTTCTACAACAGAGAACAAAAGACTTTACAACTCCCATGGCATCTGGTGGAACGCATCTGCAGGCTTAGTTTTAAAGAAAATGGACTTTCCTTGCCAATATTCTCCACACAGTTCTGACAAAAAAACCCCATTCTCTGGAGAAATAACAGTTCAGAGAGGAATTCCACAAAATTATAAGTATACACTGCATGTCACTTCAGCCCACAAAGAACTGAAAATTTAGAGAAATATGCCTGAGTGGTCTTACGGAGGATGACCAGAAACTGAGCTATGCTTTCTCGTCACACTGAACAATTTGGTGTTTCTTTAGCCACCTCTTTCAGTTTTCTTATTGGCAAGATTTGCTTTTCCTCATGTAAAGCTCTTTTGAAATACTTTAATGTTTTCAACCTGACACTAAATTTCCTCTCCTTCCTACTTTCCTAAATTTCCTAAATATTAATTATTTCATATTATTTAATTTTATACCTACATATTTTTACTTCTTGGTCAAATGTAAACAATAGCACTTTCTGAAAAGCTCATATTCAACTCTACGTATTGCACAGTTTTGCATGAAGGTACTAATGCTCTGACTGGGCTGTTTCTTGACTAAAGAAACAAGAACTTTCTGCAATAAATTTTTTTTTAAATATGCATTTAGCAATTGTTCATTTAGCAAATTCAGCACTCTATTTAAAAAGAAAACTGAAGCATGAGCTTTACACAGAAATAGTAGCTTATGAAATTGTTTAGTAGTTTCTGAAGCCAGTGGCAAAATATTTAGCAATCTTAATACTGAATGGCAATTACTTTTTGGTTTTTTATTTTTAAATTAAAATATTCATAGGCCATTTACCTCTTAACTTAGAAGTATATTATGCATCTTATTTGTGAAATATTTACCACAAAGTGTATGCTTTTGTACAACTCCACCATCAGAATCATCTCAAATCAAGTAGAGTACATTCATATTTTTAAATCAAGTTTTAAATATAAAATTGGCAACTTTACACATACTCAAAATTATCAGAGTACAGAATATGCACTTAATTCCAAAAACCTCAGAACTATTACACAAATACTCAAATGGATATGGATCTACAGTTTAACAGGGTACATACAGCATATAATGCAATTCCATAATAAGTCATTAAAAACTATTTATTAGAACTATAAAAATAACATTAAATTGTGTATATAATGCCTCAGCATCAACCTTATCTCAACAATACTTAAGACAGAAGAAGACAACTTACGGGTACGATTCTGCAAGCCGCTGAGCTATTTTATAAGCTGTGGGATCCCTGTCTAGTGCATACACGGTAATGTCGCTGGCTTTCTCTAGGAGAGCTGCAGTGTGACCTCCGGCTCCAAATGTCATGTCAAGGAAACGCTGTGAAGTGAAAAAGACAACACTTTTACCCTAGAACAGTGATAAATCAGTTGTTGACTTAAAGCTTCTTTTGCTAATCACTCTCCTATGCTGGAGGAAAACATACCACTCAATATAGTCACAATGTCTTTTTGGAAATCTTTTTGTATTTTATGCAGAATTGCAATCATGTCAGAGGAATCTTTTTAGAGACTGTGACCTCCCTCCAGCAGTCCTTCCAGAACAGAAAGACAATCATTTGGCCCAACCAACTGCAGCTTCATACTCTTCCCATTTTTTCACACCCTGAGCTCAGAGGAAAGCCACTTGTTTGACTGTTTTGTTTGGACTTGCTCAATGTGATGGATACCAAGATACATAGGACATGGGACTCCAGGAAGTCATCAGCACCATCTGCTTTGGAAGAATGTGTCTAAAAGGAAGGCTGATGTACTGTGTACCAATTAAAAAAATGTCACTATCTGAGTTTTGTACCACAGATCAAAGTGTGATGGCAGCACACACACACATATAGGCTGACTGGGACTAACCTAACCAGCACAGAAAACGTCGGTTTTCAAGAGACAATACCACTGATTTTTGCTTTCACTGTGCAAGCATAAGCTATGTACTTAGGTTACTAAAATATACTGATGTCCAATCCTCCTAATTAGATGCAGAATAACATTTTAAGAGGAATCCTATTTTGGTTGCAGGTATGAGATACGCTAAGGGCTTGAGTTACACATTTCCCTTGCTTCTGAGAAATACTTATTGTCTGTGAACATACACCATGTCATAGTGTTTTGCACATACAAACAAAGTCTCGAAGATTTTTAGTAACAGTAGGCAGACACAGTCAATCTCTCCAGTCTTATGGACTAAAGGAACTTTGAATGCACTCTGAGTAAAACAAACATAGGTACAGATTGAGCACAAACTAAGTTTGCATGGAGTCTAATTTTGTTCCCTCCAGTCAACAGAGATCCGTTAAATCAACTGAGAGGAAACAGTTACGAGAATTCAGAGATGCAGAAATTAGAGAAGATGCTGTTCAGTTGCATTTCTACTTTGGCTTAAGCATACTGTTGTAAAACATAAAAAAAAAAAGTAATGTAAGAAGAGAGAAACACCCAAACAGGTATTCATACTGAAGGTCATGGAGAGTTTGTTCTTCTAATTTAGTTTGTATGAAGACCTCGTGGCTCATTCAAGAAAGTTTATATTTGTTATTTTGCTCAACAGCCTCACCTTTCCTCACACACATCTGCTTCTTCTTTCAATAATTTTAAATTTGATAAACTTTAAGCTCGATAAACTGCTTCCTTATATGTGCTGAATATTAATGAACCATATAGAAGATCTTATAAATAAACAAAAAATTAATACTAGCAGTGCAAAGGAGAGAAAAGGAGAAAGGATAAGGATCGTTGTACCATGACACAGTGACAAGCTCTCAATATTGTGACAGTACCTAAAAGCTTTAGTTAAGAATTCATGCAAGCATTCACTGTGAATGAACACATGCTCACCAAATTATATTACCCTTTCTGAAAGAACCAACACAAACCAGTCAAACCTTTGAGCAGCAACAGACAACTGTAACATAATCTTTAAACGGGGAGCCGTACAGAAAAAGGACACAGCTCTGATCCAAGCAGAAGCAATTGCGGGTCTGAACATAAAATACTGGATAAATACTGCATCTAGCATTAATGGAATAGGCTAAAGAATTTTTGGTGTTCTAGCAAACCCAATTAAGGCCACATTAAGCACATTTTGGCATTACATTTTAAGGTAAATAAAGATCTTCCATGGATAATCTTTGAACTGCACAGATATGTATGCCTAAACTAGCAATCAATAACTCACACAAATGCCTCATAATCCAGCTGTTCCACTCAAAAGCAACACTTTGCCTGTAGAACTTAAAATAAATAAATATCATCTTAAGCTACAAAAATAAAATAATTTTATTATTAGTAGAAGCATTTTGGAGCACTGATCAGATTTGAAATTAATCCTTATACTACACTGCTTCATAATATGCTTTTTATATATACCATTCATCTTCCATGCCTGAAATAAAAGAAAGATGCTTCATTTTTCACTTCCTCTTTCTCTCTTGCCTAGTAGTTTTTAATCAAATAAAATTAAATGACATTTTATCCTCCTGGTCCTCTAAATACCGGAAAAGATTATTACATGAATTCCTCCTGCAGTGACTCACCATTCCATTGTTAAGTTACAATCGCCCCCATCAGAGGTCCCCTCGGGAATTTTATAATCAGTTTGTGACTGTACATTTTAGAAACCATTTGGCTGTTTCATGACATACAGATAGCAGCAAACAAAAACTTTATAGCCTTCATTTTATAACTAGCTCTAAGACTCCTACAGAGATACCAAGAGTTCATCTTCCTCATTTTTGTACAGAAGACTTTTCACTAGCAAGCTATCTCCTACTAAACACTTTTTAAGTGCTTCATTTGAGTATGACTGAAGTAATCTGTAATTCCGCTTATGATTATGTTCCGCATCTAATAAAAAGTTTACTCCACAATACCTGGCAGCCTTTGCAATTATTTTTCCTTTACTGTGTAACAAAATGACATTACAGAACTTACACAAACATGACATACATATATTGAAACTACACAAGACTTAGTTTTCAAATTATGGAAAATACAAGTTTTCTTGCTAGTTCCAATAATTTCTAGTCTCCTGTTTCTTTTGTAAAGGCAAGAACTTTATCACATTCTTCAAGTGATTTGATCCTTTAGATGTACAACTTTATTTTCTGCTACTAAGCTTAATTGTCTCAAGCACTTCATGGGTTCAGCTGATCTTTCACGAAACGTGTTTTCTTTCTCTTACAAGCCTGCCATAGTCTCAAAGAGAAATTTTGGCAAATTGCACAAAATACCCAAGACGTACTGAATTGGAATATAGTACATAATGTACTACATCAGTCTTCTCCTGGGTATCAGTACTTCGTGAGGAGTCTCTCTTTTTCATCATTGACTCTATGACAAAAAAAAATCTCACCTGATAATGACCATCCTCTCTGCCTTCAACAAGTGTTAACACCTGAACCACTTTAACCCCAAGTTCACTGATTTAAAAAATAAAAAAAAAAATAATTAAAAGAAAATTGGTCTCAAATCAACCTATCAGGGGAAAGGCAGTTGCCTCCTTCAGCCCTCTGCTTCGCACTTTCTCCAAAGACCTATCACACACTCACATAAAGAGACAACAGTACAGCCATTCCCCTCTGATGCTTTCGTATAGTTGGCATTTTTCCCGTCTTATCTAAGGAAATTTTTCTGTAAGCGGCAGTCATTCAAGCATGGCAGGATAATGTACTTAGCAGAACATTTTGCAGTACCTTCAGAGCACGTTTGCCGGAGTATCCTCCTCACAAATTAAATACTCATAAGACCCATCAACCACAGCACGAGTGAATGACCTGGAAGGTGAGGCAGGCAGCTGCGATGCCACTCGAACAGAACAGGAGGCCAGTCCCACGGAGACAAGCTGCTAGCACAGCTATTGCCATGCCGGACTGCCAGACAACACAGAAGGAACTCAGCTTTGCCATTTGCAGTGTATGGCTCACTTGTAGTTTAAAGACGAAAAATGTTACTCAGAAGTAAGCGAAAAGAAGGGAAACATTCTGTGAAAAGGATCCTACTTAGTCTTCTATTTTAGCCAATAGAAAGGATATCCTGACGGGCAGAAAAGCAAGTCAAGAGTTGTGCTGGTTTCAGATTAGAAAACAATATGAAAGAAAAGATTAAAATATGAGAAGAAAAATTAACTTGGAAAATCTACACAATTCAACAGTACCGTATCAATATTACATATGAATATCATATTTTAGCAGTGATACATGTCCAAAGAAGGACTTTCCACCTAAAACTAGCCCTCACCAGAATTTCAGGATTCTCCTATGGGAGGCAGAGAAAGGAAATTTATCCATAGCCCCTGCTGCCACAACTGAGCACACAGCTCCAGTCCCAACAGTCCCTCATCCTCCATGTCTCATCTTCCAGAAGAAAAATCAGAACTTAGAAAGAATTAATAATTATCAAATTAGTATATTTTCAGTGCTTGCATAAGATATTTGTTTTGAAAGTAAATGGCACTCTTTCTACTTTTTACAAGCTTGAAATGAAAAATACCAGAATACTGATTTATTTGAAACACTTTTTGCAAAGAAGATGGAAGAACAACTATTCAGCATCCAAGCTATACTGCCTAACTTTTGAGCTCAGTAGAAGAAAATAAAATGCCTGCTATCACTTGAAGAACGAAAAATAAAATGGTGAAAGACTCTTTAATGCAATTGAGAAATCAAGTGTCAAAAAAAAGATTTCCTTGACATATTGTCATACTAGATATTCAAATGAAAATAAGTTCAACGATTATTTGATGAGAGCAACAATCCATTTCTATGATACCAAAGCCACCATCCACCAGCGTATTCTGAACCAATCACTACTAGGTCACAGCGCTTCTCTTTGCCTCCACTGATCTTTCTTAGTGGGATGACAAGCCAACATTTGTCACAATAATACAGTTTCCATATTTGAAATGAGTGCTACTGTTTTCTTGTCAATGCAAAGAAGGTCAAATTACTAGCATGCTTGTAGTTTGAACTGAAATGTTTAAAGCTAACAATAAATATTTATTATTGCATTGCCAGGCACTGTTGTTAGGTATCTAAGTACTTTTATTTTATTTGTATCTATTCTATCGCTTCATGGGAAAAACATAAATCCCAGAAACAGGAGAGTAATATTATAAACAAAATAATCAACACATTGCGAGGCATTTTTTGCTTCTTCATTCTCCTGGTGTTTCTATGATGAGTCATGTTCTCTAAACTTGTTGTCTGAATTTCCTTGTTATTCACAACAGAAATTGTTCATTGTCACAACACAACTTGTTTTCCACTCTGCTTTATTTTTCAAATATCAACTCTAAGTGCATTAAAGCATAAATGTATCTGACCTCTTGTTCAAGCATCCTGAATTTGCCATAGCTTACCATTTTAATAGAATGAATTATTTCATATACACATAAGGAGAATAACAAACTGAATTGAAGTGGGGAGCAGAGACAAAGAATTCCATAGCAACTTTTTTTCTAGCTGTGTTTTTATTTTTACACAGAATAGTTGATCTTCTGTACGCTTTTATTATCACATTTTTCACACTAGACCACTGCAAAGGTACATATATAGACATTTAAAAAGTAATTAATGGAGTAAATGCTTCCTGAATATAGTATACAGACTATTGTTTGGGCACATATTTTAAGGACCACAGTGGGAAAAGGCAGTCTCTTCACAGTTACTTAGTCTTTCCTTTCCCTTCTGTAATGCTCAAAATCCACCAACTCAAAATTTAAAATTATTGCTCAACATTGCCCTTTGTTAATATCAATCTCATTGAACCCACAGTTGCAAGAAATTTTAAGATTAGTTTTTGCCAAGTACAGCAAAACCTCTAACCTAAGCCTCAGAGATGCTATTTGAGGTACATGCAGAAGATTTTTCTTCTGCAGCTCATCACATTGAGGCCACATGTCAGCATCTGCTGGAGTAGTTTTGACTGATCATATTTATGATCAAATATAATTGAAAAGAAAAATTAAATTTAGGACTGTCTTTTCTTAACACATGCTCCGAACATAGTCCATAAAATTATAATAACCAGCAAGAAGTTAAACTTTTATTTTATAACAATTTAAAAGGCATTATACAATTTTGTCAGAGACAAATAGGAAGTAATTTCAAATCTCTATTTGAAGAGTTTATCTTGGGTATTATTTTGCATTTTAAGTTATTCTTACAACTATTTCTTAACAAATTATGATATTCATTGTGTGCAGCAAATAAAAGAATATAGTTCAAAAGGAACTTTGAACTGTTTCCCTTAGGCCAATGAACATAACGTGTAAGAATAAAAATGACAAGCACTTCTTTAAAAAACTTATTCAAATTTACATTTACAAACAAAAAATCCCAACCCAAACCTATTAATTGCAGTGCCACTGCAAAGTCATACGCGGGTAAAGTCACTTACACCAGCTCAGTTACACAGAACAATCCAAAATGCCGGTGTTGACTTTGGAACATCTTATTATGGTAACAAACAATCCATTTAAAAAGAGACTAATGGAAGTCGGATCGCTTTTCGTCTGAAAGACATATGGAGTCTTTTTCCTGTCAGCTGAAGTTCATGGCTGGACTCAATTTACAACTCTAATCAGACTAACATGCTTAAACTGCAGTGTGTAGAAAACTCACAAATGTTCTCCTACCATTGAGTAATAATTATGTAACTTTTTAACATTATAAATAATTATTAATAACAGTCCTTCTGCTAATTGGACTGCTGTATGAAAGTAACTTAATGTAAATATATCCTTAATGGTTTTGAGCATACCACATTAATAATAAAAAGAAACAAAACAACTAACCAACCCAAAAACCGATACCAAAATCCACGGCATTCTCTAGAAGGAAAAAATATTCTAGAAAAAGAATGTCTTTTTATTGTTCACTTTTGGATGATGTGCAAACACAAGACCACAAGTTGTACACAGTTACTAATTCAACATATAATTAAAGTTTTTACATACAGTAACTTGCCCTCAATATCAAAAAAAATCTACCTACTCAAATTCTTTAGTTTTCTCTTCGAAGTATTATTTCATATAATATTCCCTACTGATTCAGTATAGGATATTTCAGAAAAATTTTCACATTTTCAAATAAATTTCAAATATATTATTATTCTATAAGAGGAAGTCAAAAGGCAGTGATCTGAGAATAATCTCCCACTTGCTTTAACATTATTCATGCAATAAGCTTATTAACATTTCTTCCCACAACCAACTCGGCAAGTTCTCTCCTTCTCTGAGCTACTCTGTAATTTCATTCTTTGTAACACATATCTGAATGAATTAAAAATAGGTTTCTGAAACTCACCATCCAAACATAAAAGTTTTAATTACATATGCAGAAACCCAAAGTAACATGGCATTTGTGATCTCTTAGCAAAGGTTAGCCCCCAAACACCACGAAGCACTATGATTTCTACAAAGTATGTAACAGAAACTTCATTTCCTGAAGAAGGTTTAACAAAAAAGACCCAATCATAATATTCCATACACTGCCTCTCCTGACAAATCCACTCTACTAGTGTTGTATACAATTGCAAATACACAACATGCATTTAAACATTGAAAAATGTTATGATGTAATTGAAGTCTTTGTCATAGTTCGCATTTAGAAAAAACCACGATGCTTGTCCTACCACCTTGGTCCTTCACATTTACAATTTCCAATTGTTTCACTTGTGCAAAACTGAAGTGCTTTGGGGTGGTTTTATTCTTTAACACACTCACCTAACCATGCAATTGAGCAGAAAAAAACCCGATTGTCAGTCTATTCATATTTTTTAGTCAACAGGGTTAATATACAACCTTGTCTTCCAGCTCTGCTGTGTTGTCTGTCTTTTGCCTCAAACACAGCAGCACTTAAGAACCAGTGGTCTTGGGGCATATTCAGTACAACACGACATTTTACCAGCCTTCCTTCTGATATTAGGCTACTTTACTTCAGCTCTAGGACCAGGATTTCTCTGAAAAGGTCACATCTGCCAACTTTTGCTTCCTGCTCAGGATCATAGGATTGTTCAGGTTGGAAAATACCTTTAAGATCATCAAGTCCAACACTTAACCTAGCAATGTCAGGCCCACCACTAAACCATGAATCTGAGCACCACATCTACACAGCTTTTAAATACTTCCAGGACACGAACAGTTCAGCACAATGCTGGAATGGGATGCGGTGGACAGAGTTGCCAAAGGTGGCCTGTAATTTACATGCTTTTCTATTTGCAAATGGTTGGGTTGATGAGCTGAATAGATCATTAGAAGCAGAGTTTGAGCAACTGTGCAACAGATTCATATCCTTATTGCATCTGTTCACATTAACCTGTTAAGTAGCATTGGCTTCCGTACCACAGACACGTCAAACACTATACCAAAATGCCTCCTTTAGATAATGCAAGAAGGTAAACTAAATTTAATAAAAAGGGATGTTCTCCTTAGCAGCACAGACCACCGCAGAGGATGGACTCTTGAGGGACTGTCTGTAGCAGCAAACCATTGCACTATAGACTTGCCTACCCTAAGAGACAAATGAATTCAAGTATCTCCAGACCTCAGCTGATGACCCGTATCTTGCACTGGATGCTAACTACATCTGCTAATACTGTGGCCTACTGAAAGAATTCACATGGCATGCTATTATGTTATTTTTGCATATGTCATATTTTTTGTATTGTGTGGATCAACTAGACCTTCTTCCAGTTATTTGAAGATTTACTATTATCCAGACAAATCGCTGTTTGCAATGCTTTTTTGGGTGGCAACTGTGCGGGCTCAAATTCCTACTTCATATCACAGCAATATTTGCAATATGGCAACAACAGTATTAATAAAGTTTATCATTACAATTCATGAATGCAGTTATTGCTAAAC